TCGAACTCCTGAGCTCAAACAATCCACCCGCCTTGGCCTCCCAGAGTGCTAGGATTACAGGCGTGAGCCACCGCGCCCGGCCCTGTTTGAGATATCTTGAATAGAATAGTCACAAAAGCATATTTTTTAGAAACTCTCCAATTGATTCTAATGTAGGCTGCCTAATCCATCTGCTTTGTTTTAGAGTTGAGAAAATTGAGGCCACTTTCACAAAATTACATATCATAGCACATATTTAATAGAAAATGGTATAGTTCTGTTTATGTATGACTCTTTTCATTGTGATCACCAGAAAATTAGATGATTTGTAGAAACTACTTGAAAAACAATTATGTTGACACAATCAATGAGGCAACTATTCTTATGTTATGGCAAAGATAGCTAAGCACCATTTGTTTCCCTTTAGTAAAATTTTAAGGTCACTCAGTTTTAATGTTGGCAGATTTTATAAAACCAAATTAAAAAATTTTCTAAAGTGGAAAGCACAACTTACTAAAGGAGATTTTAGAAACTTACAGATGACGTCCTATCCACTTCACAACGGCTGCTCAGAATAAAACAGGCCTCAGCGTCATCCATCCTAAATACAGACAGAAAAACAAAATAATCACACACTGAAATATCTACATATTGTCTGAAAAATAGAATTTCAATGCTTAGTCCATATATTGCATAAAAAGTACATGAATACCATATGTATCCTTAAGCTTAAATGAAAGTTGAATTTCTAGCAGATCATGACTATATCGGACTCTGAACAAAAAAAGTTATTGTTGCGTTGTCTATATAACTCAATAATTTAGGACAGAAGTAAAAAACAAAGCCAACTTTATTCACTTTTTAATGATTATGTATGTTTTAATATATATGGTTTGATTAAATTAAAGGAGTGGTATTGGCCTTTATTTATGATTAATTATATTTTAAGTATAACGTCTCAATTAAACTAATAGAGCTAGAACAGAGGTGCTCAGTATTCATAAGGTTAACTCTACTATATATTTATATTTCTTGAAGGTGATTCAGCATCTTGTTCCAAATCCCTTCCCCTCATGCTAAGCACCAATAATTTGTAAATTTAGTGATAAAGAAACAATATATTTTAGTGCTTGATACATAATGTTCTAAAAGCACAAGAATGTTTATTTTCAAAACAAGGCATGATTTATCTTTGTGGTTCACTATGATGAAATAAACCTTTCCAAAAAAAATATTTTTTATGGAGAAGAAAGACAAAAGTCTGTGAAATTAGACCAAACCAAACAGTTCTGGAAAAATGTTGTGCCATGGTTATTAAGATAATATGAGTATTGGATAACATTCTCTAAACATCATTTTCAACAAAGCAATTCAAAACTCATGCAACTGACCTTTGGAACTTGTTTGGAGAATCCTACTCCTTGTTCCTTGCATGGGGAATTGTGTTGAAGAATGTATTAGTTAACATTAAATCCCAAATCTTTTATATGAAGTTAGGATTAGAAATGAACATAAAAATGGATACTCTGTCACTCTAACTTCCTTCTTAACCCAGCTTTTTGAGTATTACCAGTCAGCTACCTCTCTTCCTCAGTCTGTTCTTTTTTTATTCCAATGAAGGAATACTTCTTGTAAATGTGATTGTTTTTTCTAAGAAATCATTTTTAATACTATTAACAATAAATTAGTTGTGTTAATCCTAAATAGTATCTAGCTTAGATACTAATAGCCAATACTAATAGCACAGATTAATTTATTAGATAGAAAAAAGCTTCCATTTATGACACAAATTCATATTGAATATAATATGGGCATTATTCATGCTTATTTTGTGAAGAACTTAACTCCTATACAATAAATTAAGCACACTGATTATCTACACAGATTAATACAATGATCCATATTATATCAGTGTCTAAGCAGCTATTCCTCTAGACCACCCAAATAATGAGTATAGATAACAAATAGCAAACACCTAGAGCCAGGGTCTACTTGAGATGCTGGGAAAACCTGATGACTTATAGAATTGTCATATATACAACAATGGCATATACGAAGTATATAATCCACCAAAAATAGCTTAATTTTAATTATGTACCACTCACTATATCCTGGTAGCTTCTAGCGACTTTCTTATTTTAGAAGTTAAAATATTGAAAAAACTCAGTTAAATTGATTTTATTATATTTATTAATAAATAAAGAGTAACATCAGAGTTCCTGACTAGGTATCTAGTCATCACTTGCAGGATTAAGCAGCAAAAAGGAACTGGGACTCTGTTCCACAAAGCATTTTATTTTTCCTTTGTTCTTTTCCATCACCTCCTACACACACACATACACAAATACACACATAGAACATGCACAAACACATATATACCTACTCACACACACTCAGTCCACCCAGAAAAAAGACAAATAAAAAGCCCTTATGCTATAAAATTCAATAGGGGAGATTTTTAAATCTGAAAGAGCATGTAGGACAACTCAAGGACAAACATGAAAACATTATTTAAAACTTTAAAAACAGCAGAAAATATCAAGCAAAACCATTTCTGCTAAGGCTTTCCTCTGGCTTCTGAAACGAAGGGTGTTGTTTTGCAGGCTCCCTGAGTCCCTGGTGTCCACACTCTGCCCAAACATGTTCTCACTCTGATCATGCAGTATAATCCCCATGACCTGTGACAAATATTTAAGGCTCTGTCACCTTAGCCAAATTGGCTGGCACATGCACAAAAAGAAGAGGGCAGCTAAGTAAGACCTGTCACCTTTCTGATTCCTCTGTCCCCCAGGGACTCTTCTGTCTCCGACCCTAGGCAATATAAGTGCTGTTGGGTCAGTACATATTGCAAACTCTTTAAAATTTAAACCTTGACTCACATTGCTCTGGTTTCACACATAAAGTTTTTCCCAAGATTTTTATTTGTGGAATAAAAACAGTATCCAGGGATTTGGAGACCACTCTAACAGTGAGTCTGGATACCTCCAGCCCTTCTCTGACAGCTTAAGGTAATTATATCATGCCACACATAACACGTCGTTGTGTGGACGCGGTCTGCTGAACAACTTCGCCTGGGACGAGGCCGGGAAAGAGAAGCAAATACACTGACTTTATATATTTAACCTTTCAGTCTGAACAGCAGCGAGACTAAGGTAAAATTCTATATTCGAACAAACACATCTTGCAACACTGAAAAGTACTTAAATTTGAAGGAGAGAAAAGATATTAAAGCACTCAAACCTGAACGCTACAAGATGGAAAAAGATAGGGATACCTACTTTGCTCTCAACAGGTCTTGATCTTTAAGGGCTGACCCCTGCAGGTAGATGACCCTTTGGGACCACATTGGGATCTGTAGCACCCTTCGAACTTGCACATCCATTTCAGTAGGACACAAAATCACCACATAATAATCCTATTCAAAACAAAGTGGGAAATGGATTAGAAATAATAACGCTTTATGTTACACAACATAGGCAAATAAAATTTCTAAGAAAATTGTGAAATATGATAAAATTGAAATCAACTATTGTTAATACACAAAAGTTCACATTTAACACCTGGGCATATACTAAATAACACAGCACTGTAATAAACACAACTGAGACATACAAAAATCTCATAAATCAATACATTCATCCTGCCTATTTCGTTCCTATGAGCACCATAAAAGGAAGGTAATCAGGACTTATACTTGGCACACACTTCCAGCCTGTGAAGTTTTTAGTTATAACTACAGGCTGATCCTAAAATATACATTGAATACCAAGAATAGGCATTTAAGTATCAATTCATACTTCAAGTTGTTGCTTTTAGAATCAAAACTATGATAGTGATTTATATCATTTGGTAATATTATTATGAGCTGACAATTTTGAACAATTTCTGATAAATATTTGACTGAGTAAGGATTCATAAAAACATTGGAAATACTGACAAAGTAAATTAAAGAGTTGAGTTCAAAATATTTCAAACTATATGGTCCTTTGGAGAAAATACAAAAGTATTCTGAGTGATGAAATGGTTTGAAACAAGTGATCTATAAAAATTAAAATTCTCTGGTAAACAGTCACCATTTTATCACTCTAAAATATATCTATTGGGAGTTTTGGGGGTTTTAAGAATTCTCCGTATTGATATCAGACAAAGTTAATTATTGTGGGATCCCCCAAATAGCTTTTCTTAATGGGTTATAATGAGGAAACTGGAAATTATTCAGTATGAATAATAAACAAACAAAAAATAAATAGAGTTCCTCAAAAATGCAATTAATTTATATGAAAATAAAAGAATATATTATATAATTTAAAGATCATTTACAAATTAGGTGTTTTAAAATAGAAAAATATAGTATTTTTAAAAGTCTCCAAACTATTCACAAATCAATGTTTCTATGTTTTGTAAGGGAGGGATAATTAAATATGCCAAGCAATGTGCTGATCTTTGTGATTATTCAACTTCTTAACACAAATTTATTGAGGAAATGCGACACCTTCAAACAGTTCTTTGTTCTTTGGACTGGACTAAGTGCATCAAGCAGAAAGGGAGATTACCGAAATCTACACTGGCCCAGTACCATGACAAATGGAAGGAATATTCGAGGATTTTTTCTGCAGAGACAGATGGAGAGATTTTTCTTAACTCATATTCTCAATTCAGCTAGTTATTGTCCAATTTTTGATCATTTATTGCTACTATAAATAGGACCTATTTACATTTCAGGAAACAAAAGAAAAAATGAGACTCCCAGACTTCCACATTTTCATTAGCAATACTTGATAAAATTCTACAGTATTCAAATGAGCAAATGATATTGAAAAGATTTCATTGTTTTATATTTTATCATAAAATTCACTGTTTCATAAAAATATCATTTATGCTCTACCCAAGGAAGAAAAAGCAATCCTTTAATTCAAAGAAAATTTTTCTCTGTAGCATTAACATAATTCCATCTGTCTTTTAGTGTAGATCCAGAAGGAAACTCAAAGTACTGCGTATTTCTTCAGCTTTTTTTTCCTATGTTCCTGGTTATATTTGTAGTTCTTCATTTACTCGTTCTAAATTTGAGTGTATAAATAAAAATCCTCCACAAAGCAGCCTGCACCATCCGTTAATTGACTTTGACAATATGTTAGTAGGTATGATCTAGTATAGTGCATAATATAAGCCAAATGTACCTGTAGTCTTGGATGAGCATAGAATTCATTTAAAAAATCCATAAGTAAATCAATCTTCAGTGAGCTGACACACAGAACAACATGCTTTTCAGTTTGAGCTCTATGTCGACTGTAGTTTCCACCTGACTTTTGTCTCTCCATCCATAAGTAGGCCAGCTGTTCAAACTGTAATGTGTTTTCCACATGTGAATGAAAAATACCAGATATGGAAATTAAAAAATCAATATAGTACATCTATTGTTTATTAGGTACACTCAATTTGTTAGATGGAACTCACTGACGTTTGAATTATCAGCGTTCCCTTCAATAGCAGACTTTTCACATGACTTCTGCAGAGGTTGCAAATGCCTCCTGGGGCCTTCAAGTCTCTAAGGAAACATATCATCACAACATGATATTGCTATTGTATCATAACAGGCCACTGAGAGAGCGGAGCCTCTGCTTTGTATCCAGTACATGACCACGTGTCTCCCGCTGAGTGAAGCCTCTTCGGCTTTTCCTCACACTCTCTGCTAAGTTCTACTCACGTCTCACGCAGTGGGAGATACTCTTACCACGGTGCACAAGGCCACATTCTGGCTGTACAGTAGCCTGTACCTGAGGACAGTGAAGGGTGCAAGAGAGGGAGGTCGGGAAGGAAAACACGCGTGGCTGGACAGGAGCAGGAAGGCCGGTTCTATACCTACACAAGGAATGTTCAGATACACTGTGGCCAAAGCTGTTTAATGGAAAAGGCAAATACGATTCTTCCACCACCTCCTGTTTCTGACCTGCCCACACAGGGGCCCCCAGGGGTCACTACGGGAAAGGGCTGGAGATTGCATCTACTTATCTTTAATTCCATTATATAGTCCTGTCCCTTTGCAACCTCCCATTCACTCTCTGAAATGCTACACAATATTTATATACCATGTTCAGATTTTGTTTTAGTTGATCAACATAAGCAATCAATTTTTATTCAATGCAGTGTATGATTTTTAGGTTTATTTTCAAGAACAAAGAGAAATCGACCTTTCACAAATGTATTTCTTTGATCTGTCATATAATTAAAAACTATACTATCCAGCCAGGCATAGTGACTCATGCCGATAGTCCCAGCACTTTCGGAGGCCAAGGCGGGAGGATTGCCTGAGGCCAGGAGTCCGAGACCACCTCTCTACAATAAAAAAATTAGCCAGGCATGGTGGCGTGCCCCTGTAGTCCCAGCTACTCAGGAGGGTGAGGCAGGAGAATTACTTGAACCGAGGAGTTTGAGGCTGCAGTGAGCTATGACAGGGCCAATGCACCCCAGCCTGGGTGACAGAGTGAGAGTGAAACCCTGTGTTTTAAAAAAAAAAAAAAAGAAACAAAAACTATATTACCTTATAATTAATATAGTTAAATACCTTATATTTAAAAGAAAGGATCTTGAAAAATTGAAGTGAGATGTAAGCTATCAGTTTTGACTAGAGGGAAAAAAAAAGAAAGTGTTTCTAATAAAATGTAAAAAAGCATTTCTACATAATTTATACAATCAATTACACATAATATCATGTGTTAATATGTTTCTGTTAGATAAATAAACCACCCTGCATTTCTTATTAACTGTCAGTGGTTCAACTTTATAAGTCTTTGCACATTTCTACAAAATCTAAGACAGTTGTGTTTACCTGTATGGGTAGAACCACGAGAGCAACACAGATCATAGCAACAACAAAAAGCTTAGAGGACCATGTTTCAGGAGTGACATCCCCAAAGCCCACAGTAGAAAATGTGACAATGCAGAAATAAAGGGAATCAAAGAGATTCAGCTTCTTTCCTATTCGTTCCAGATGTTGGATCCCACAAATGCTAAAAAAAAAAACAAAAAAAAAAACAGCAATAAAATTAAGTCTTTGAAATCAGACACATTATTTCTCATCACTATTCTTTTGAAAGCCAAAGTACATTTCATAAAGCCATTTAATGGCTGGGGTCTTATATTTTACAATATTATTTTTTTCCAGGAAAATATAATATTTATGTTTTTTTTCCTACATTAACCAGATTTGGTCTTATTTTGATTAATAGCCAAAAATGGTAGCCAATATATCACAAAGTATATTTGAATAACAAGTAAAATGGACAGACCAAATTTCATGGATGATACACAAAGACACTGAATGCACGTAAAGGAAACAAAGAGACCAGAAATTGCTAAATCTAATCATTGTCAAAATACCAAAAGCCTTTTTTTTTTAATTTAGGAAGAAGAGAGATAGTAAAAAGCTAGAGGAGTTAACAATTGCCCAGTGCTATAGTACGAATGTTTGTCCTCTCAAAAACTCATGTTGAAATTTAACTGCCCTTGTACCAATGTTAGGAGGTGGTATCTTTAAGAGGTGTTTAAGTTACAAAGGCTACACTGTGATAAATGAGCTCATGCTGTTATCCCACAAGTGGGTTTGCCCTCTGTCTCCCACCATGTGATGCCTTTTGCCATACTACGATGTAGCAAGAAGGCCCCCACCAACTGCTCGCAGCTTGATCTTGGAATGCCCAGGCTCCAGAATTGTGAGCCAATGCATTTCTTTCATCATTACAGACAGCTGCAGCCAGCCTTCCCCCTCCCTCCCTGATGGAGACGAAGGCTGTCCCTCCCCAGCTGTCCTGATAAGGACGACGCCAGAGCGGAAGGACGGGTGCCACTGGGGCAAAGGGGTCATAGGAGTTGCTTGTTTGAAGAACTTACTACAAGCAGCTGCTCTGCCCACCGTCCTCTGCCATACGTGAGCTGTATGTAGCAGGAAGCAACTCTGCACCTGCCAGTTTAGCCCAGAAACAAAGAACTGAACAGGGCAGGTGGGAGGGGCCGGCTGTCCCCGTGTATAAAACCCTCACTAAATCCCCTTCTGTGCCGACTCTCTTTTTGGACTCAGCCCCTCGCACCCGGGTGAATAAACCAGCCATGCTGCTCCCACGTAACCCGTGTGTGAAATCTGTCCTTTGGGTCATTCACCCTTTCAGGACATATTACATATTTCTTCTTGCCTTTTTCTCCCTTTTGGAATGGGAACGTCTACCCTATGCCTGTCTCATCATTCTAGTTTGGAGGTGCACAACTTGTTTGATTTCACAGGCTCACAGCTGGAGAGTAATTTGCCTCAGGCGTCTCACCCACGTATGACTTAAATGATATTTAGATGAGACTTTGGACTTAGCCTTTGAAGTTGGTGCTGGAAGGAGTTAGGACTCTGGGGACTATTAAAACGGAATGAACATGTTTTGTACGTGAAAAGGATGTGAATTTGTGGGGGAGGGCAGAGATGAGATGCTATAGTTTCAGTATTTGTGTCCCCTCCAAAATTTATTTTGAAACTTAAATCCACAATGCAACATTATTAAGAGGTTAGCCTTTAGGAGATGATTAATTCACATTAACTAAGGAGCAGATGATTAAGGAGCAGAGCCCTCCTCAACGGGACTAGCAACCTTATAAAAGGACTGGAGAGAACCACCAGGCCCCGTTTGCTCTCCTGCGGTGTGAGGACACAGCAGCAAGGAGCTACCTCGAAAGCCAAGAGAAGGCCCTCAGCAGGCACCAAACCTGTGGCCTTGCTCTTGGACTTCCCGGCCTCCAGAACTCTGATAAATAAAATCCTATCATTTACAGATCACACAGTCTCAGGTATTTTGTTCGAGCAGCACAGACTAATACAATAATGGAATACCATTCAATAAACTAAGTGAAGGAACTAAGTGCTGATGTATGTTACAACACGGATAAACTGCAAAAACATGTTGAGTGAGAGAAGTCAGATGCAAAAGACAAAATATTGTATGATTTTGTTTATGCGAAATGTCCAGAAAAGAGACAGAAAGCAGATTAGCGGTTGCATGGGACTGACGGTGGGAATGTGGGAATGGAAGTGTTCTAAAACCGGATTGTGGTGATGACTGCACAACTCTGAAAATGTATTTTAAATGATTGAATTTACACTTAAAATGAGTAAATTTTATGGTGTGTAATTATACTTCTATAAAACTGTCAACAAAATCAGTGTATACTTTTGGACATTCACTACGGCTTCTGTGCACAATAAGCACACAGTTCAATTATGACAACCATGAAGAAATAAAGTAATATTTAATGTTTAAAATTCCAGAAATTCCTTTTCCAGACTGTTAAGATAATCTTATTTATCTAAGTTACATATCATACAGATTCAATTGTCTTTAATCTTTCTTTCTTTCTGTAAAGTTGAAGAATAAGCTGGTGAACAGAATAGGCAGATGGGTAGGTACACAGGTAGATCAAGGGACAGAAGAAGTACGGTACATGTCATCATTTAAATTCTGAAGAAAAAAACTATTTGGGTTTTTTTGTTTATTTGCTTTTTTTTTTCCCTTCTTTTTTACTCTAGGTCTCCAAAATGGTTCAGTAAAATTTCCCTTGTTTTATGCTCAGAAATTTTTTGTGAGTTATCAGGTCATAAGCACACCCAAAGCAATGAGTTGATTTCCATCTGCTTATTTTCTCAGCTGTCCCTATGTAATATTGCCAAACTAATCGTAAGAACATTCAGATGTAGCCTAAAATAACCAAAGAAGAGAATTTCATAACAATAGATATTTCTGTAACATCAAGTTTTGTTATTTTATTTAAAATAACATATTTGAAGATGTAAACAATTTATGCATCAATCTTTTATATTTCACTAGAAAATAGAATGAGAAAAAAATTCATTAACATATTTTTCATGATTCAAACGTTGAGGGCTTACTACATTTTGCCTGACTGTACATTAAAAGCCAATCTTTGACAATAGTTAAGATGTACGTTTTCTAATTCAGAGGTACATGTTCTAGACCTGAACTACCAGTACAGTCTCCTACTGTGTCTCCTGGGCTTTAGTCTCTCCTTGTACTGTAACATACACATAATGGCCATATTTACATTCTTTAAACACAGCTTAGGTATGTCAGTTTCAGGGTAAGAAAAAAAAAACATTGGATTCTCACTGCTTAAAGAACACTCTCCAAATCTTGGTATGATACTATTATAGTAGCTGCCAATGAATCAAGTCTCCCTATTTCATCTCCCTTTGCAGTATGATTTTGGTGCACATCAAGATGTGAAGAAGTCTATGTCTCTACATCCTTGCATCTGAGCTGCACGAATGACTTGCTTTGACCAACAAATACGGTGAAAATGACACTATGTGGTTGCAGATCTGAGGCCTCAAGAAACCTTGTAGCTCTTTTTCTTGCTTTCTTGAAACCCTGGGGTCACCACAGTGTGAAGGAGCAGGTACAGTCTCCTGCAGGGGGTGAGCGGCCATGTGGGAAGAATTACGATGTGCCACCTGACAGCCGGCACCCACTGCCAGACGTGCTAGTGGAGCCATCTCGGATCCCCCAGCTCCTCTCAGGCCATCAGATTACTGGAGTCGAAAGAGTAATCACAAGTGAGACCAGCAGAGAAACTGCCTTGCTTAGTAACCACAGACAGAATTGTGAAAAGTCACAAATTGTGCTGTTTCCAGCCACTAAGTTTTGGGGTGCCTTGTTATTCAGCAATAGATGATAACTGGTACATACAGAATTACAGACTACAGCATTTGGATCTAATATTTTTTTTCTTGAACTTCTGTCTCATTTATCTCCCCTTCACTTACTATTTGGACTGTTTACGTATCACAATATATTACCCTTGTTCTTATATGCTTACCCTTCTGTTCCTTTCAACAGAAAGCCCTCTCTACCCAACACCTACTACAATTCCTGTTTTTGAAGCCCTAGCACAAATACGATCTCCCTCATAAAGCCTTCCTTGAACCTCAGAGTGTTCCCTCTAAATTCCTATAGCACCTGTAAGTTCACGTCTTAGCCAGAGTTTTACAAAAATATCTACGCTTGATCTTAGCCAAAAGGCCGAGAAGTGATACAAAAGTATCTACGTTTAGTGTTTAATATTATCACCCTACTCACTTGTTATCTATCCTGATGACAATAATTATATATTTGTATTTTTATTTCCTACAACACTTAGCACAAAGTACATAGTAGCCACCCAGTAACTAACTGTAAAATAAACAAAAGAACAACTAGTTAAATCATTCCCAAGTAGTATATTCCAAACATACTCCAAAAAATATTTCATGCATATATTTCATCTTTTCATTACTGCATATTGAACCCCCTAAAATGTAGAGGTTTAAAACAGTAACAACTTATCTTTTCACATAATTTTGTGGGTTGGGTGGGAAGCTTCTCTGGTCCTCTTGGGCTCACTCACACAGCTGCGTTCAGCTAGAGATCCGGCCAAGACAAAAGGTCCACGATGGCCTCACTCCTGTGCTCAGTGGTCCATGTTCATTATTGCCTGGGGTGCCTTAGTTCTCCTTCATGTGTCCCCTCATCCTCTAGCAGGCTTGACTGGCTTCCCTGGGCATCAGTCCAAAAGGACATAGATGGAAGCTACAAATTCTCTAAAGACCTAGCTTTCATCAGCTTTATTCTTTCTGTCGAAGCAAGTCACAAGGTCAGCCCAGATTGAATGTGTGTGGAAACAGACTCCATCTCTTCATGAGAGGAGATAAAAAATATGATCATTATATTTTTCAATCTACCAAACCATATAAATGACAATATCTATCATAACCCATAAAAATCTTAATAAATATTTAATAAACCACATTACAAAGATATTTAATTTCTTTGATAGTTATAATTAAATCCATATTTATAATGATTAACAATATTTTTTAAATACTTATGTAAAATGCCATTTTATAATACTTGACCTGAAAAACTTTTGCACATCTATCACATATACATTAATATTGCACATAAGCTTAAGGGAACTGTTA